TTGAAAATGAAAATAGGTGCAGAGAGTCAAAATTCGGCTCAAAATTCACGCCCAGTAGTCAAATTTCCGACATATCACATATTTTGAAAACTGCATAAGGCTTTGAGCAAAATATGACCCATCGCCGTCGTATAAAAGTCGTAATTTGAAAATGAAAATAGGTGCAAAGAGTCAAAATTCGGCTCAAAAATCACGCTCAGGAGTAAAATTTCCGACATTTCAGATATTTTGAAAACTGCAGGGGGGTTTTGGCATAATATGACCAATCGCTGTTTTCAGTAATTAGCATATTTTCGGTATAAAATGTCGTAATTTAAAAATAAAAATAGGTGCAGAGAGTCAGAATTCGGCTCAAAAGCTACGCTTAGGAGTCAAATTTCCGACATTTCAGAAATTATGAAAACTGCAGGGAGGTTTGGGCAAAATATGACCCATCGCCGTTTTCAGTAATTGGCATTATTTCGGTATAAAAACTCGTAATTTAAAATGAAAATAGGTGCAGAGAGTCAGAATTCGGCTCAAAAATCACGCTCAGGAGTCAAATTTCCGACATTTCAGATATTTTGAAAACTGCAGGGGGGTTTGGGCAAAATATGACCCTGCGCCGTTTTCAGTAATTGGCATATTTTTGGTATTAAAAGTCGTAATTTGAAAATGAAAATAGGCGCAGAGAGTCAGAATTCGGCTCAAAAATCAGGCTCAGGAGTCAAATTTCCAACATTTCATATATTAAAAACTGCCAGGGGGATTTGGGCAAAATATGACCTATCTCTGTTTTCAGTAATTGGCATATTTTCGGTATAAAAAGTCGTAATTTGAAAATAAAAATAGGTGCAAAAAGTCAGAATTTGGCTCAAAAACTACGCTCAGGAGTTAAATTTGCGACATTTCAGAAATTTTGAAAACTGCAGAGGGGTTTGGGCAAAATATGACCCATCGCCATTTTCATTAATTGGCATATTTTCGGAAAAAAAGTCGTAGTTTGCAAATGAAAATAGGTGCAGAGAGTCAGAATTCGGCTCAAAAATCACGTTCAGGAGTCAAATTTCGGACATTTCAGATATTTTGAAAACTGCAGTGGGGTTTGGGCAAAATATGACCCATCGCCGTTTTCAGTAATTGGCATTATTTCGGTATAAAAAGTCGTAATGTGAAAATGAAAATAGGTGCAGAGAGTCAGAATTGGACTCTTTTCAGTAATTGGCGTATTTTCGGTATAAAAGTTCGTAATTTGAAAATGAAAAATAGGTGCAGAGGGTCATCATTCGACTCAAAAATCACGCTCAGGAGTCAAATTTCCGACATTTAAGATATTTTGAAAACTGCTGGGGGGGTTTGGGCAAAATATGACCCATCGCCGTTGTCAGTAATTGGCAATTATCGGTATAAAAAGTCGTAAATTGAAACTGAAAATTGGTGCAGAGAGTTAGAATTCGACTGAAAAATCACGCTCAGGAGTCAAATTTCCGACATTTCAGATATTTTGAAAACTGCAGGGGGGTTTAAGCAAAATATTACCCATCGCTGTTTTTAGTAATTGGCATATTTTCGGTATAAAAAGTCGTAATTTGAAAATGAAAATAGAGGAGCATAGAATCAGAATCTGGTTCAAAAAATCACGCTCAGGATTCAAATTTTCAATATTTCAGATATTTTGAAAACTGCAGGGGGGGGGGTTTGGGCAAAATATGACCCATCGCCGTTTTCAGTAATTGGCATATTTTTGGTATAAAAAGTCGTAATTTGAAAATGAAAATAGGTGCAGAGAGTCAAAATTCGGCTCAAAAGTCACGCTCAGGAGTCAAATTTTCCGACATTTCAGATATTTTGAAAACTGCAGGGGGGATTTGGGCAAAGTATTACCCATCGCCGTTTTCAGTAATTGGCATATTTTCAGTATAAAAAAATCGTAATTTGAAAATGAAAATAGGTGCATAGAGTCAGAATTTGCCTCAAAAATCACGCTCAGGAGTCAAATTTCCGACATATTAGATACTTTGAAAACTGCAGAGGGGTTTGGGCAAAGTATGACCCATCGCTGTTTTCAGTAATTGGCATATTTTCGGTATCAAAAAGTCGTAATTTTGAAAATGAAAATAGGTGCAGAGAGTCAGAATTAGGCTCAAAAGTCACGCTCAGGAGTCAAATTTCCGACATTTCAGATATTCTGAAAACTGCATGGGGGTTTGGGCAAAATATGACCCATCGTCGTTTTCAGTAATATGCATATTTTCGGTATAAAAAGTCGTAGTTTGAAAATGAAAATAGGTGCAGAGAACCAGAATTCAGCTCAAAAATTACGCTCAGGGCCCAAATTTTCGACATTTTAGATATTTTGAAAACTGCAGGGGGGTTTAGGAAAAATATGACTAATCGCTGTTTTCAGTAATTGGCATATTTTCGGTATAAAAAGTCGTAATTTGAAAATGACAATAGGAGCAGAGAGTCAGAATTTGCCTCAAAAATCACGCTCAGGAGTCAAATTTCCAACATTTCAGAAATTTTGAAATCTGCAGGGGGGTTTGGGTCAAAATTGACCCATCGCCGTTTTCAGTAATTGGCATATTTTCGGTATAAAAAGTCGTAATTTGAAAATAAAAATAGGGTAATATTAATAGAAAATAGAAAATATCCTTGTTTACCCGGTCAAATGCCCTGAAAATTTTGTAGGTTGTGATCATGTCTTCCCTTACTCTTCTGTTTTCCAGTGTCGAAAGGTGCAATTCCCGCAGCCTTTCCTCGTAACTCATTCCTCTTAGTTCTGGGACTTGTCTAGTGGCATACCTTTGAACTTTTTCCAGCTTCGTCTTGTGCTTGACAAGGTACGGGCTCCATGCTGGGGCCCCATACTCCAGGATTGGTCTTACATTGTGGTATACAATGTTCTGAATGATTACTTACACAGATTCCTGAACGCTGTTCTGATGTTAGCCAGCCTCGCATATGCCGCAGACGTTATTCTTTTTATGTGGGCTTCAGGAGACAGGTTTGGTGTGATATCAACTCCTAGATCTTTCTCTCTGTCCGTTTCATTAAGTACTTCATCTCCTATTCTGTATCCTGTGTCTGGCCTCCTGTTTCCACTGCCTAGTTGCATTACTTTGCATTTACTCGGGTTGAACTTCAACGCCATTTGTTGTAGGCAGCAGTGAACGTGTAAAATTTAATTGAGAAACGAGTCAATTTTCTTTATTAATGTAGAAGTATACCATGGTTTTGCAACACAACCCTGACTATTCAATACTGTATAAACATGGCTGGGTCATTGCAAGGATGATAAGAGAAGTTGTAAACCTACTATACAAGTCTTAAAACAGTAATTGGAATACACTGTTGTGTGTGTGTGTGTGTGTCAGTTTGAAGTACATAAACAATACATTCTTTTTAGCTTTGAAAGAGGTATGTAGTCTAGTTTAAAATTGAGTTAAGGTGTAGAGAGAAAGCTAACTAGTGAATGTGGACAAAAATATGTTTGTAGAGAGGAGGAAATTATGGGTAAAATAAATGTAAATTGTAAAGTGAGATTCAGTTTAAAAATACATGAAATGTATGATTGATAAGAGAAATTTATGGAATCACAGTCTAAGAGGAGTGGCAGATACATGATGGATTTTACGGGCTCCATGAAAGCCCTAATTAGGATAGACTACAGTACAAACTCTGAGGCAATGACGGAATTAGCATAAAGAAGTGGCTGTGCCTCATCTTATGAATAGTTGCAAGACGATGGTGTGGAATGACAAATCAAGAATTAGAGCAGTAAAACATTATGACACCGAGACCCATGTGTTGCGATATGCAGCATATTGAGCACAGAATGAAAATAACATTGAGAAGTGCAGAGTTCAAAATTCAGTAAACCTCAATAGGAGAGCATAGTGGAACGGTTTAGTCACGTTGAACAGTGGTACCTCTGTTTTCTAATTTAATCAAATCCCAGAGATGGTTCAAAAACCATAACGAATTTTCCCATAAGAAATACTGTAATGTAAATTGAATTAATCCGTTCCACACCTCCAAAAATATTAACTTAAAATACATTTTATACATACTACTACTCATATTTTGTACTACAGTATATACAAGTATATCTTACCTTTATTGAGGACTCTTGTTGGCGTATGGAAGACGTTGAGGAAAGGGGGGAGGAGGAGAGATGTTAGTGTTTGGAAGGGGAGTCCCCTTCCGTTATAACAGCAGTGATGACATTTCTGCAAAATCTTTATAATCTAAATTATATGTACAGTAACAGGAAATGATTTTTCAATTTGAGTTTCTTGCATTATTGCCCAAGGCCCACTATCAAAAATTTCATGCAGGTAATTGCTATTTAATTATAAAACAAGATATTTAAGCAATATCACCGAGGTATTCTAAAAGTTGCTCTTGTATATATATTGTAACCAGATGTTCCAGTAGTTAGAAGTGTACCTCATGACAAGCACCATACACGTAATATGGTAGGGAACAAGGCTCTTTAGCAGCAGGCTGAGATGGAGTAGTGTATTGGTTGCATATGACAACTCCTGAGCACTGTACACCTAGTATTATGAGAGAATGGGGGATATCCGAGTGTGATTAATACTGGCTTTCAGTGATGCTCGATAGCAAGATATGGTGAATAGGGAAGCAAGATTCATTAAATAATTTTTTTTTTCAAAATTCTCTCCTATTTTATGAGCCGATTCTTCCACCCAATGAAAATGGGGAAATTGGGTAATGATAATTAGGTATAATTATCATTATAATATAATCCAAATAATCAAAACCACCAGTCACGGAGTATTTAAAAATTACTAGGCATCTTTCGGGGTGTCATTACAAGATCAAGAAGACAAAGGATGTCAAGATATCAGATTCACCAAGGACTTCATCAAGGATCACAAAACTCAATGCAGCTTAAATATGCCCGAGATCATACAAAACCCCTATATCTTCTGTACCTCAAACCTAAAAATATTTCTTATACTGTAGCATAACGAGGCAGTTAAAACAATGACTTTCATTAAGCTTCACCCTTTAAAGCATTTATTTCCATAATGATGTAAATAATCAAAGATGTATATCATTTAATTGAAACAACTGCAATAAATTGAACTAACCAAACTTGTTACATGTTAACCAGCGTCGGCAAGGTTAATTCAGATCACCTATCGCTAAGCGTCCCATTTTTGGATTTAGTTACGATAAAAGAAAAACCAATATGGTGATTTAAGTAATATCAGTAACAACAGGAGCGCACACAATTTGTTTGTAACACAGATAAATATTAGTATTAAAATGTATGCAATTAGGAAAGCCAACACGTGCTCTGCCGTTGAAAAACCTTTGTCCAACTGGTAACTTTTCTCCCAATTTAAACACTAACAATATTCAACAAAAAACAGGTCGAGAACCACATTGGTACACACTTCATTTCGAAGCTTACAGACAAAATTCAGCCGACAATTTTTACACAAGATCTTTTTAAATCGGTTTTCATCACTCCAGAGTAACCAATCATAAAAATGTTAATAAATAATTTAGCAACAACCATTATCCACTTAAAAAAAAAATCTTGCTACCAAAAGTGGCTATTGGTATTATATTTTAACAAAAGGTAATACATGTTCTCACTAGGAACATATCAAATAATAGAAGTAGCTTTATAACAGTAGCTCTGGAGTAGAAAGGTGGGGGGGGTACTCTATATACATCAGCACATATCCTATACTGCTGATGTAACTCTATATGCCATACAGGTCTTTAATTATGTGCCATATGGAGCCACCTGATCATTGCAAATATAAAAAAAATATATATAGAGATAAACTATACATAAAATTACACAAAGTCTTGGAAACAGAACAGCAATTTTATTCAGCAGGGAAAATACAGCATATCGACAGATGAAGTTTCAAGCAGGCACAAAACTAAATAAGGATTAAACGGTTTTCTTATGCATCGATACATGGAATTGGGATAGTTATTACACTTAACCTACAGAGCATGCAAATAAAGGATATAAAAATCCAATACATGCTTCCATATGGCTATACAACATATGAAGACACTTTGTTCTTGGCAGTGATGATCTTGCCTATTGTTCAGAGTACCTCATGAATAGATAAGATGAAAAAGATAGCCACAATATCTTTTCAACAGATTCCATCTATCACATTCACGTATAAGTACCCAGTGGGCAAAACATGCTCTAATAACATTAAATCAATGTAGGATCAACGATGACTCAATGTTACATCGACGTCGTTTGCCCCGGGAAGTAAACATGTTCACGGGCAATACCATGGTTTTTCTACATACCGGATGTTTCCACCAACTGTATATGACTCCAAACTCACCTCAATACTCTGGACTGCCAACCATTATTGTATGATTCTCATTGCATAATTTGAAGATTTAACAGGTTAATACAAGATTACCTTCACAATCAATTTCATCTTTCATATTTAGAGTTCTCTGTGGAAGTTGTAACTTCATAAACAAAACCTGCTCTCAGGCAGTGAATTAACCAAAACGAGTTATCAGCATGACTAGGATTTATTAGCAACGAGGACGCCTGTAGTGCCAGTTGTAGATTCGGCTGGTTGACTTTCCTTAATATCGTCTTGACCTTTAATTTTGATATTATGCTTCGCACGGTATTCATTTACCTCCTTTCCTTTGCTTACCAGCTTCGAGTTGAGGCTATCTATCACCTTTGTTAACTGAAAAAAGAGAGACATATAAATATTGTAAAATAATTTAAGTGTGTAGCTAAACATAAAATTAACTGCCAGATTTTGTAAGCAAGAGTGTTCTCCCAAAAAAACAGTCATGCGTATGTCTGGTTTAAGCATTACATTACATTTTTACAAAGATAAACCAATCTAGTACAGCAGTTGCAAAAAATGCTGGTTCCCCATTTACTCCAGTAAACGGTCAGTGGTAAAAGTTCGCTTCTGCATCGGAACCAGCACCATGCAATGAAGGGAAAGGACAGGAGCAAAAAAAAAAAAAAAAAAAAAAAAAAATATGGGAAACATTTGGAAATTGAATTTTTCTTCCATTGGGATTACATCTTTGTTTATCTTAGTTTATATATTACCTTCACTCCCTCCCAATTCATACTAGTATGGGGTGACAATCCCTTATTCAAAGTTATTACAGTTCAGCAATTTTCTCTTTTATATAAGGCATTTATATAATGCCTACAATTATCTGATAGTTTTACATACCCTTGCTGCCATTTTTAACATATTGCACTCACTTTTCACTCTTTGTATATAAAAAACACCTTTGTTGTATTATTATGTATTACTACATGACTAATAATTGCAAGCAAAGAATTATCAAAAGAAGGTATCAAGTCTGGGAGTCTACTTAGCACTGGATGTGTTGCAGAGCAATCAAGAGCCTAAATATAATTCAGGATGCTATAAATAAACGAGAAAAAAACAGGCAATATCGAGGGTATCACAGGTTCAAAGAATTCTATCGAGGGCAAACAACTCAATGCAATACTGGGAGATAAGAATTTATGGATTCAGGAACATCCTGAAAATCAGAACATTCTACAAGATACACAAACATTAAGTTGTTATACAATGCAGTTTGGTAAAAAAGGAGCCGGTCAATTAAATGCCCCAGAGCCGAGTGCATGGCCAATATGTAGTCTAGCCAGAGTCACATAGGTGGGCTAAACAAATCCTGGAAAGTAGGAGAATGCAATGGAAGAAGGCTAGAACAAGGGCAATTATGATGCCACACTCTAGTAGTGAGGGGAAAGTAATGCACCCTAGTAACAGCGAATGGATCACATAGGGCAACAAACCAGTCACCACAGGTAATGCAAGAGATTTCCTCACCATGGATGTGGCTGAGGACATGAGAGGATCAAGAAGAAAGCAGGAACAACCCAGAAGGCCCACACATTGCAGGTCAAAGAGCTGGCAAAAACCGGCAAACAGTCTCCCCAGAATGCTGTCAAAGGAGCAAACCATGAAAGGGCTGATGCAATACCCCGCCCAAGCAGAAGCACACTTCTGCAATGCCCAAGAACAGTAATGACTAAAAGAGACAAAAGCCAAAGAAAGCACAACTGCTCAAGAATCCAGTTCCAACAAGAGCCTACTCCAACCAACCCCAGGTGAAGCCCTAACCTGGGAGTATTGCTCAAAGCAGCAGAGACAGAACCTCTCTGAAAGAGAACTCAACTGAGGGGCTGGAAAACAACTAGAGGCATGACATTATAGGGGAAGGAGGAGGGAACAAACATGGAATAGGTGGAATTCACATGCTGTTCTAACTTTAAATCCTAAATCCTTAATCATAAGGGTCAATTCCAGGGTATCCACATGAGCACCAAGCTGCAAACAACGAATAAATAAAAAACAAGTCCGTAAACGGCTGTTGCCTGATAAGCCTCTTCCTTAGAAGATGGTTCAGCTAGAACAGAGACCCAGTGAACACAAATATCACAGGCCTCAGGGTGGAAAGACTCACTCGCCCAACAGGGACATTCTTTGAACCTGAAAGTACTGAGTGCAGACTCAACAGGTTGATCCATAATGAAGCACACCAAAGACCTGCAGGACTTGTCAGGGCCTGAAGGAAAGGACCGAAAAGGACACTCAAGCAATAGGGACACTCGTTGAAAGAGCTGATGTCGAGTGCAATCTTGAGCATAAACACAGTTATGAAAGACACTGCCAGCATGCTGTATGTAAAGTACAAGTACATACACCCTAGTGCATCACTTAATCAATAAATCCCAGAATATACCAAATCTCAGAACCTCTCAGAGGAGTTGAAGACCATTGCATTACTCAGGGCAAGACACCTTGTACAATAAATAGGCCAGCCTCTATGGGGTGAATTCCCAAACACACCCGTTCCCAGTTACCCTGTCAGGGCTATCATCAGATGAGTTCCCAAGGAAAGGCTATGTTAAAATTGTGCAGCTTGACGTGAACAGTTTCCACAGTCTGCACAACAATCAATGCTTGTAAACACAGGCATGTAAAACACAATAAATATTGAAGACACACAAGTAAATGGGCCCCCCAACAAGACCAAAGTCCAAAGGATGGTAAACACTTATCTAGGACTCAAGGGTGGCAACTCAAGGAGTGGTCCAAACTGCTGGACATCAGGCAGAGGGCCGAGAATTATTGGTATGGGGAGTCGGCAGCTCCCAGTGGTGCTGCTACCTGGAAGTGGTCAGCCCAATTTGCTGCTTCCTGTCTGTATGTTTCTACAGTGAGGGTGATCTTATCAATCCCCTTCCTCCCTGCTCTTTTGTAAGGGCCAGGTTCTGGCTCTGGTCTCCAATAGGCAATTAAGGACTCCATAGGTTGACGTGACTCATGTGAGGAGCTATCTCAGTGCGGCTAGCTTCATGAAGCCACCGTTTGGCCCCCCTCCAAAAATCATCCCATACCAGAATTGCATACCCAAGCTAGAAATCCATCTCTGGGCATCAAGACAGCTTTACACAAAGGGACAAGACAGCTTTACACAAAGGGAATAGCTAAATACACTTTGTGCAATGATCGCCTCCTTACTGGTCCCTGTAATATAAGCTAATTATGGGGCAGCAATACTTCTTGCCAAATAAGACAATTTGGCAATAGTCACCAGGAGAATAAAGCTCTTAGAGACAAATGCAATGAATTAAGTGTATTAATCAAAGGCAAAAGTGGCACCTTTAACTAATTTAGTAAAGGATGAACTGTTAATGAGATTTCTCAGGTTTTAAACTGATAAGTTCGAGGTCCTCTTATCTGCTGGAAGAGGAAAGCTACAAAAAAAATGTTAAGCCTTTAAAAGTGTACAAAAGAAAGAAATTCAGAAACAGCACATACATTAACAATAAAACTGTACATATCCATAGGAACAACACATTACACATAATGCGAAGAAAATAAATGACAGTACATAATTATGGAGGCCATAATTATGTATTAATAGTCGAGAACCGGGCCGCAGGGATGTTAAGCCCCGAAATCATCTCAAGATAGGTGCTATTGCAGCATCCTCAAAAATACAGCATTAGTAAGCTATAAAAAAAATTTAAGGCATGATATGTATTTCACAGAATACTTAAAATCACAACAGAATGGTTGAAATTTTAACATTACCACTGTACTGTGCAGAGTGCTCCAAGAGTTGTGCTATTTCGTTTTAAATTAACAAGGCTGTATTTTAATGTTTTTTTAATGTTTTCATTACTCGGTGTTTTGAAATGAAAATGGTTGAATTTGGAAACATTTTGACATTAACATTACTGTACCTAAACACTTACAAAAATAAAATATATATACTTGACAATTGCACTATGAAGTTTTTGCCGAAACCAGGTGCACAATGCGGGGGTTAATTTTAAGACAATTTTTTAAAAGTACAATGTAATTAAAGGTTGGCTGAAAGCCATAAATATAGTGTGCATATTACTGAATATATATTTTTTTGGGCCAAAGTAAAAACTATTGAAATAAGTCACTAACTTGTTCTTTATTGTTCAGTAGTGCAGGCAACACTTCCATCACAGTTCTCTCTACAAGGACTCCTCCAACCATGCGGAAACACTTACGATCTGGAGAGACATCTTGGAGTGTCTCAATTACAATCCTGAAAAGAAATTACAAGAATAAGTATTCACAGCAATATTGTAAGTTAATTTTGCACTCAACATTTTCTCTACCAGATACAGTATATTGTCGTAAATGCCTGATCAAACCAATTTCTATTTCAAATCCTTTCCCACCATAGCTATCTATTTAGAGTAGGACCTCGGTACTCAAACAGTTCCCAACTCGAACAATTCGGCACTCGAACACCGTGTTCATGTTCGGTACTCAAAATTTTCGTAAACTCCCCCCCCCCCAGACGAGTCAGTTTCCCAGTAGCCATCATTAAGTGCGCACCACCACCAGACTTCTCTACACTTTCTCTTGTTTTCTTGAATATTTTTTTATATTCTTAGTATAAATCACCACGGAACCAAAGTAAATTAGTGACAGTTAGTGACATAAGGGCCAAGCAAAAAGAAATTAATTAGAACCATGATTCAGAGGGAAAAAACCAGCATTGATTTTTTTGCATTAAGGCAAAAAACCAGCATTGATCAAGCCTGACAATTGTGACGTCAGGATTGACAACCACTACCGCGCCACTGTATGCGGAGCTTCCCCCCTCCTCAGGAGGGGGAAGGGGGAGCCCCAGACCCCTGCACCAGCCATCCAACCCCAGTTCTGAGGCTAAATATAAAAAACACGAATACCGTCGACCGGAGGAAGGGAAAGTTGCCGGGGAGCCTCCAGGACTCGCCCAGAAAGTGGCGTTTCATTACATTCAATGCCGGTTTTCTGTGGAACCCTCCTCCGGCTTCCCAGGGTTACCTAACCACAGAAAAATAAAAGAGGGACTTACCCGGGAGGCAGCCGCCACTCGTACCTCAACTCAAAGACGAGAAAACTGGTTGCAACCTGCGACCCAAACCAACACATGCCCGACTAGGGCCAGGAACATTAACAAGATATAGGACGGCCAAGACCCTGTTCGACCTCCAAAACCCTCGTGCCCGAATGTCAGCCCAAGACATACCAGCATTACCAAAAATGGCAGCTAAAAGAGCAAATTTGTAAACGTCATAGGCACGAGGATAGACCGCAAGCTGGCTGGACCGAATAACCCTGCAGACGATCTGGGAGACCCCGAGTCCTGGAACAGGAACAAAGGGAAACTGGGTCAACCCAAAGCGTGTCCCAGGCCACCGAGGCCGTGGCAAGCAGATAGTGCCTAAGAGTCGCAACCGAACACAACACATGATGCACCCTCAGCCGAACCATTGAAGCATCAACCACCCAAGGACCTCTCTGGAAAGCTGCCGTATCGTTCCTCACCAGAAAAGGAGAATGCTGCAAACGAACAAACCTACCACCGGGACCGAAAGAACAGAATTACAATCCTGAAAAAGGATATATTTCTCCTCTGTGCCAGAGGAGAGCATGAAGCTCCCCACCACTCAAAACATCAGCCTCAGAACTGGGGTTGGATGGCCAGCACAGGGGTCTGGGGCTTCCCCTTCCCTCTCCCTCAGGGAGGGGGGGGGGGAGCTGCACAGACAGCGGTGCGGTGGCAGTTGTGACATGTCTGTTTTCGGATTAGGGGTTCTGCTTGATAGTTTGGTTTTCAGTAGCAGTTTTTAACCAGGCAATGTTCTGGGACGCCTACCTTTTTGGGTGCCAAACATGGTTGATGGCCTAACCCGGTGATGCCTGGGTGCCTAACAATAGCGTGAACAATTTTTTTTTTGAGATATATACAAGAGTTTGTTACATTTTTGTACAGCCACTAGTATGCGTAGCGTTTCGGGCAGATCCCTGGAATACGATCCCCTGCCGCGAAGAATCGTTTTTTCATCCAAGTACACATTTTACTGTTGCGTTAAACAGAGGCTACAGTTAAGGAACTGCGCCCAGTAAATCCTCCCCTGCCAGGATACGAACCCATGACATAGCGCTCGCGGAACGCCAGGCGAGTGTCTTACCACTACACCACGGAGACTGTAAAGAGACTGAGTCTAAAGAGACTGTGTTATTAAACACAAGGAACAAACTCAATACACCATGCATAAGTTATCAAATAACTAGAATAAATCCTCTATTTGGATTCAAGATGCCAAAGGTTAGAATCCCTCAAAATTAATTACTAAAACTGCAACAGAGCTCAGAATATTTTATGTTCATGATGTCCACCAAGAAACAACAATATCACTTCCATTCACCATGGGAGATAATCCCTTTACAAATAACTAGCCAACTCTTCAGATTTAAAATACTGTAATGATTAAAGATCAACACAAGCATTAATTTAAAGTACAATTCCTTAGCCAGATTTATGTTCTGCTCACAGAATGCTCCATCCCCCGAACCATTTACACTGATGGTTTCCTACACCACTGCACTTGCCGTTGAACAGCTTGAGGGCAGGAATATACTAAAAAAAATAAAAAAATTTAATGATATAAAATAAAATCTACATTAGCTGTTACACCTATCATACTACAATACAAGAAGAACTACATATCTATGGGGTCACCCAATAAAGTCGATAGACTTTTTACTACTGCTAAACTTAGGCTTGGGAAAAAAAGTAGATCCAGGCATTTTCATTACTTACTCAAGCAGATCTGACCAAATGAAAGCTTTGTCAGCAAAACCATTCACATACCTTATGTCACTATGTAACTGAAAGGTGAACATTTTCAAGTATTTATGAATAATTCTTATTGCCTAATAAAAAAATATATATTTATTCAAACTGAACAAGAAATCTTACCAAAGTGTCTCAAGTTTTCTTACTGTACGTAATGCATGCACATTGTCAATTTCCTACCAGCACAACCTACTGAATGGGTGAGGCACATGCTAGGCAAATCAAAATTTTAAGAAACTCACCAGAAATATGCGCTACTTAGCTTGAAGATCACCGCAGAACGGTACGTGAATGCATTATGTGAAACCTTTCCTGGGTTCAGTTCTTGAGCCTATTATATACCTCAGTTTTTCCACAATCACTCATAGGATGTGTATGAAATGCATAATAAATGAAATTAGAGAAGCTAAACTAAACCAAAACACTATCCTTACCTCACCTAAGAAAAAAACTTATGTATATTCGCTATTTATGTCACAATGAAGTTATCAACCTGCCTCCGGGGATCTTTTCTGCTGCATTTCAGTGAAGCAATTACTATTCTTTAGACCCAGAAATGTGCTACTGGATATATTTGACAAGGCACTCTAGACCTCCACTCTAATTACTTGGAAACAATGCAATAGCAAAACCTGTACATACAATATTTCTTGAAATTCAGTGTAGTTTATTACCAGCTGCGAAGCTGTCAAATACTGGAGACTGACTTGCCTGCCCTCTGCCTAATTGCTTGCATTAACTCAGAGAGGAACATTAGCGGTGATCGATCATAGACTGGTAATCACTAGCTCAGAAATAACCTGTCCCTTCTATTGACTACAAAACTTCAGTCAGCCAACACAATGAAGGCTCAGGGAGGCACCAGAACACAGTGCCACCGAACACGGGTACTGTAGAGGGGCAACGCCTCGCTCCACCACCACCAGCATGACTCAACTGGCCGCCGCCATGATCGCTCGGTCATCTCTCTCTCGCTCTAGTACTCACTTGTGCTCATTCAAGTCCTGCTCCAACTCCGAAATCTTGGCCATTAACGATCTTTGCTCATTTCTCATTTGTTGGAATTTCTGTACTATTTCTTCCCCCTCGCTTTTAGTGAGGATTTTGGGGATGGGAACCACTGGCTTCTTGTCTGCCATGTTTGTTTTGTTCAGTGAAGGACCGGTATGTTGGTTCTTATCTCAAGTTACTTAGTATAAATATCAATATATGTCAAGAACTCCTTTATAGATAAATATACATTCATTTTACTTATTTGCATATTTGTTTCTTTAATTGTTAAAATATACAACTGAGAATTATTCCATTCGTTAAATTTGTGTAGTGAATTTGAATCCCGCTACAATATATATAATTCATTTTTCATTTTGTCGGGGACAGAAACCTGTGTATATGTATACTTTATGCTTATATCGAAGTCCCTCCCCAAGGTCGAACTAATGACCCTTCCCAGGAGGCAACCCTAGTTACTTATTTACTGTTAAGTGTACAGATGCATTAGGTGAAAGGAAACGTGGCCAACGATTTGTGAACCCAGGATCCCGCATTATGAGTTGACAACGAAGACAACTGTGCTAATTTTGAGCAGTAGAGAAGTACTGGAAGTTGAGAACCGCAAAATGACCTACATAAAATGTCAAACGAACTAAGTTGTTGTTGTTATAGATTCACTTACTTGGAACAAAAAGTTCCAAGTAGCACAGGTTATGCAGGCGATGAGTCACAATAACGGGGCTGAGGTATGTTGACCAGACCACACACTAGAAGTTGAAGGGACGACGACGTTTCGGTCCGTCCTGGACCATTCTAGCACAGGTTAAGGTGAACCCGTAGTGGACTTACCTGGCACAGGAGCGGGGCTGTAACTCTGAAAAAAGAACTAAAAAACGACATTCATATGTAGTGTGTTTGGGGTGAGCGAGGACCGTGCGCTTCACCACTTCCTGTGACGTGAAAAAAACACCATTGTAAAAACGGAAACCAAAGATAAAACGCAGTTAAGTCACACTGTAGAACGAAAAAGCAATATAAAAGATTTTGTGAATAATTATGTAATTTTGTATTATTGTTAACAAACTTAGGTATACACAGCAATGTGCTGCCACCCAATTCTAAATTCTATATGAAGGATTACAGTGTAGATAATAAACTATTTATGTGTTCATATGGGAAGACCATACTTTTAAAGGACACATTAAAGTCTCCAGTCTCCGTGGTGTAGTGGTAAGACACTCGCCTGGCGTTCCGCGAGCGCTATGTCATGGGTTCGTATCCTGGCCGGGGAGGATTTACTGGGCGCAATTCCTTAACTGTAGCCTCTGTTTAACGCAACAGTAAAATGTGTACTTGGATGAAAAAACGATTCTTCGCGGCGGGGATCGTATTCCAGGGACCTGCCCGAAACGCTACGCGTACTAGTGGCTGTACAAAAATGTAACAACTCTTATATATATCTCAAAAAAGTATAGTTGTCACAACTGCAAGATAAATGGCTGGAAGGATAACAAGAACCTTTCAAACAAGAGATGCCTGGCCAATAATGTCTCTGACAATGTCTCTTCAACGCAGACTGAACTCCAAGCCTGCAGGCTGAACTCCAAGACTGCAGGCTGGTTGACCAGACCATCAATTAGTGGGCCTGGTCCGAGACCGGACCGCGGGAATATTGATCCTCGGGATAAACATAATAAGGCAAGGTTCCTAAAATGAACTACACCACAACAGCCGGATATAACTACTTCCTACGGCAGTGTTGTTAGTCCTACAGGAACAACATATAAGAACATAAGAACAAAGGTACCTGCAGAAGGCCTATTGGCCCATACGAGGCAGCTCATATTTATAACCACCCAATCCCACTCATATACATGTCCAACCCACATTTGAAACAATCGAGGGAACTCCACCTGTACACGCGCTGAAGGCTTAGCTCTATATAGGATTTTAACCCAAATGTAAAGATGTTTTTAGCACCGTGACTACAGTATTTCAATCAATCACGGATATTGGAAGATACTCTTTCTACTCTCTTTTTCTTTACTCAAAATTTCCTAGTATAGCCTCGTAGACTTGCCTGACGATTTACGTTTTCTTTGATTCCATGTCACCCTGTGATGGGGGGGACTATTAGATAAACTCATAGCTAGCCTTTGATCTAGTCTCCCTCATATATATAATAGGGCAGCAACAGGCTCCTCTGTTCTAAAAAAATTGACGAAGGCTATCAAGGGGCATCAAACGAAAGGAAACGCTGCCCAAACTCTTCTGTCCTGCCGGGAGAACTGAACCTGGGACCTCTCAACTGGGCTTACAAGCGTGCCGCCATAATACACTGTTCTACTGACCTGATATGTGTGTGAACGGTTGCAGGGTGAGTTTGAGACAAGATATATACTAAGTATATATATACTCACATCTGTATAAAGACGTATTCAATAGATCATGTGCGATGGTTTAATTTTTTAATCATCTTAGCCTCAAAGACGTGTGTGCTGCTGCCGTGTTCTGTTGTTCTGTATAAGGGATTAGTGAGTATAGGTCATATATAAGTTGTATAGGTAGTTGAGTGTAGATAGGAATTCGTCTAAATACCCCCATCTCTCAGGGTGGTTGGTCATACACTGTGAAATGATTAGTTTACATTAACCCCTGACGAGGCCCCTGGAGAGATGGAGGCCCTCAGGTAAATTCAGGTGAAATATCTATGAAGTGAATGAAGTTGCTTATGAATTGCTATTTGGTCTAAAATCTTTGATAACTGAACACTCACTAATATAGCAGTCCGGCCTCTTGAGTTACCACAACGCATAGAAAATGGTGTACTAAAACATTCGAACCAAATCTAGCCTGACCGAGCAACCCACGCATAGAAAACGGGAATATTTGCGACCTACTATGATTTATAGTACATCATATTTTGTCTGTTGGGAGTTGTTGACGACAAAATGCTTTGTATTATTCGAGAGAACAAATTAAATATAGTACTTTGGAGTGTTGACTTCTCCCTTGTTTTCTGAGGAGAAACATGGCACCAAGTTGAGTACGTACACTTGTCATTTAAGATCTTAAGTGTTTGTTGACTTGCCAGAGCCTTGCCTCTGCCCAGTGTCCAGCAGAGAGAGAGAGAGCCTCGCAATCTATTGAACCGTAACTCTGTTAGCTTTGCCGGCCGACCAGACGGAATCACACTGCGCCCTAGGAAAAATGGCAGACAAACTGGCGTGGGACTATACTTGGGTATTCACCCTGGCAGCCACATACATCACTCTCTCTGTCGGCCAGGCAGGAGCCGCGGCGACACACAGAGAAAGAGACAAGTCAGCCAAGTACAGGGAAATAGATCACCGGTACAACTTCGTTCCAATAGGATCCGATAACGAATGGGCCGGGGACCCTTGGTCCCCATTCTTTGGCGGTTCCTTGGTAAGGCGTCAAAGGTAACAAGGTAACTTTGACGCCTTACCTTGGCACTTTTTCGTCTGCCCACCTTCGTCACTCTCAGGACTTGATAGAAAGACTGCGCCTGCAGCCCTCCTGTAAGATGCTTAGTCTTGATGTCGACTCTGTTTACTAGTGTTCCCCTTGATACCGTTTTCTATTTCCTTAGTCAGAAGGCGACTGAGAGCCTTCTTCCTCTCCCGCTTCCCACTGACGTTTTCCTTGAACTCATTAGACTCTGTGTTGACTCAAACTCTTTCTCTTTCAACGGTAAATATTTCTCTCAAACTTTCGGTGTCGCTATGGGTTCCTCTCTCTCTCCCCTGTTCTTGCTAATTTCTACATGGAATACTTCGAAAACTGTTCTTCTTCCTTCTATTGATACTCGTACCTCTCTCTGGCTTCGCTATGTTGATGACATTTTTGCTTTTTGGCCTCATGACCTTAGTCTTTTCCAGCCTTTCCTCGCCTCTCTTAACAATCTGGCTCCTTCTATCCATTTCAAAGTTGAATTGGAATTTATTTCCCCCCTTCATTTTCTTGACGTTCATGTTCACAGCTGTGTCCGGGTTCTCTTTCTCTGTCTACCGTAAACCCATGCATAGTGGTGTGTACATTCACTTCTTTTCCTACCATCCTCCTTCTGTTAAGAAAAGTGTCCTCGTCTCTCTCTTCCTCCTCCAAAGGATACCTGATCAACCAGGCTGTGACTCATACGTCAGGCTGCGAGCAGCCGCGTCCAACAGCCTGGTTGATCAGTCCGGCAACCAGGAGGCCTGGTCGACGACCGGGCCGCGGGGACGTTAAGCCCCGGAAGCACCTCAAGGTAACCTCAAGGTAGGTAACCTCCTCCGTGCTCCACGCATCAGCGACCCTCAGTTTCTGGATTCTGAAATTTCCTTTATCTACAAATCTTTCTCTAGCCTTGGTTACCCCTGTATATTAAATCAACTGTGCCTATTCTCAAGCTAACAAAATTTCTTTCATCCTAAACTTGCTTCCAACACTAGTAGCACTGTGCTCTGCCTTCATTCATATATGCACTCAAAACTCTTACTAATACCTTTGTTGACATAAAGCTCGCCTTTCGACAAACTAACATTCTTCGTAGCAATCTAGTTCACACTTCTCCTCCTGCTTCTAATGCTGCTGGTGTATATTCTATTTCCTGTTCGTCTTGTCCTCCCCAATACTTTGGTGACATTGTGACGCTGGCCGTACACTTACTGACAGACTGAAGGAACACAAAAAAAGTGTTAAGTCTGCAGACACTAACAATGCTCTCTTCTGTCATGTTATGGGATTCTAATCGCCCTATTGATTGGTCTACCTCTAAAATAATCTTTCCTGCCTCTACTCTACACAGACGCCGTCTTGTCAAATCGGCTCTGATTCACAACGTACCCAACATGAACCTGAGTCCTGGCTTTGTTGCTGTTGACTCTTCCCTTTCACAGTACATACTCAGATGTTCTAAACTTTCTGATAAACGTGACCTAACATAACCTGCCCTTCCTTTTACCTTTCTTTCTTTTTCTTTATCTTGTTTTCTCTTACGATCACCTTTCTTATTCCTATTATTACACTCTTTATTACACCTTACGTTCCGTACCTTTTGCCATATTCTTATCTTCCTCTACGATTTCCATCTCCTCACCTCTCTATCGCCTATTAAATGTTCTTGCCTCCCTCGTTTCATCACCATTTGGTCACTATTTGGTCCGGGAGACATC